GTGGGCAATAACGGTCTTTGTTTCTTCCTCAGTGTTTCTACAAGTGTGGTCTAAGGAACAGGGCTTCCTTGTTAAAAATGCAGCTCCTAGATGCAAAGATTCAGACTCTCGTGGAAGATAAGGAATGGGGCTGAAGAAGCCCAGGACTCTACAAAGCTCTCAGAGTGACAACCTACACACAGAGTTTGCACCCCACTGCTCTAGTGTCACAAGGATCTCTTCCACATGATCTCTTCAGGCATTCTCCTTTAAAGCACCGACATTCCTGGGGACACGACGAAGCCTGCCATCAATACACTTCAGAAGGCAGTTCTATCACACTCTAGGATAGCAGAGTACCAGACACAAGGAGGAGGAAGGCAGACACTAGATGGGTTTTGGAGAATGGAGGGAGAGACAAAGGAAACCCCAGAAGCACTCAAAGGTAGGAGAATGAGTACCTTAAACAACTATCTGATCAACTTCCAATTTCACCCTGGCTTTACTTAGCGGCTAAAATCAACAGGCTTTGGAATCAGACAACTTGGGCTTAAATCCTGAGTGAAACTGCCACAAACTGGTTGTGTGACTGTAGATAAATTAACCTCTTTGTGCCTCAGTTTCTTAATCTGTAAAAGTGGGATAATCCTGCCTACTTCTCAGGGTTGTTATAAGGATTCAATGAACTGGTGTATGGGATGAACTTGGAATAAGACCTAGTATAGAGTTAGTGCTCAGAAATACCATTGCTGAACCTGGGGATATATGGTTTAAAACTTGTAAACAAAGGAATATTGAGGAAATCACCGCTCTTGTCCCATCAGCCAATGAGGGCGTACGTTCCTTGAGGCTGGGCCCCAAGTTCTCTCTATTTTGTATTCTTAAAATCACCTAGGGCAATCCAACACACACAGGGACACAGGCACTTGTTATCTGTGAACGTTAATAAGTGGACAGAACGCTGGAGCAGGAGACAGGAGACCCGTCACCCTTGCAATGCCACGGTGTGCACCCAGAGCTTTGGTCTTGCGTACTATACCTGATAACACCCAATACAGAGGTATAGCATCAGGTCGCAGAGACAAGCTATCTTTCTATTTTACAGGGAAGAAACCAGAAGTTTAGCCCTAGAAAATGGCAGCGCAGTCTCATGTCCCCTCAGAGTCCAAACACCACCATCCCTACCCCCAAGCGCGTCCGCTGTTCTCACCCGCTTCTTCTCCTCCACCTCCTGCACGCACTTGACCCTCCAGCGGTCAATCTCCTGCTCGCGCTCCACCGCCCGCGCGGCATCCACCTCCCGCTCGGCCTCGCGTTCCCGGGCCCGCTCCCGCAGCCGCAGGCGGCGGCGCCGGACCCTTTCGAGTCTCCGCCGCACCTCGCCCACATAGGCCGCCTGGGTCAGCGGCTGTAGCCTCTCGGCCAGTTCGGCGCGCAGTGGCGCGGCCTGGACGTGGAGCAGGGCCCAGGTCGCGCCGTCGGCCTCGGTCTCGCGCATGGCCCGGCCCAGGTCCCGCAGCTG